AAAACGGTTGATTGGTTATCATTTTTCAGCATTGAGAATACCCTCACTTCGTTGTTTTAGAAATGGAATAGGCGAGACCAAGTTTCGGTACAATTTAATTTCGTCATTTACAGACAATTTCTTCATTTCAGAAAGAGAATTTAAAAAAAATTAGAGATAATCAGAAAACCCAACTGAGAATTCCAATATATTCATTTAATTGGCTGGGGTTTTTGAAGAAAACACATACTTTCAACATAAAATATATTTGATCCAATAACATTTAACTGCATAACCAATACTTTCTGATTTTAGGAATATATATGAAAAATAATCCTTCTTTTCGAAAATCCAAAACTATCATTGTTGATTCAGATTGTGATGAAACAAAATATGAAAATGAATATTCACAAAATAAAATTCGAATACTACTGAGGTATACTCATGACAATAGTTTTGAGTGATGTTTCTGTCGCATATGAATATTTTCTCTTATTGAATGGAATAATACTATTTGCGATAAAACATAAAGTATCTTTCTGCCTATATGGGTTTTGTGTCCCATTTTGAAAATGCACCTAAAAGAAATCAGACGATATTACTCATTTATGGTTGGTACACAAAAATGTGTCCTACTATTCAAGATGAAAGCAAGATATTCAAACACATTAATGTAATAATCACATAGGTATGTCTTGAGAAATTCATCCGAAGTAAGAAAGCTTAAGATTGATGCCATATAATGAAACCATCGGAGTGTTATTATAGTCCAATCCGAATTGTCGGAATATGTACCTACCAGATTGAGATTGCGCCAAAAAAGTATCCTTCTCACATAATAATCTATCAAACAATTTTGGACAAGGTTAACAGCCATGATAACGCTATTATTAATTTCACTAATGATAAAAATTATATTATAAAGTAGTACCAAATATGTGCTTCTATTAATACCAAGAAACAATTTTGTTTTTATTTTCAATGTCACGTGAAAAACATGCTGTTTGATTGATTAATAAAATACGTTGACAATGATCTCAGAAAGTATCTAGAACAGTAGAATATCAACGATACTACTATTTCATCGGAAAATAAGTGTTTTGGCTTCCTACTTCACCATCTTCAAACAAAAAATGCAGGGAATATCCGAAAAAAAATTGATTTTAAAACATAGTCTCTGTATGTATAGAGCATTTACAGATATATCGTTCATTTGAATACTGCGAAAAAGAACCCGTTTGAAACAAGTACTTTCACAAGAATATTCGAATACAAGAAATTAAAGTATTTTCGACACACCTGTTTTCATATAAACATTTTGAATCACACGTTTGCCCATTCAGTTTTTACTCCAAACATTCGTTGTGGAATCGAAACAGATAGCATTCCACGACATATAAGAAATAAACAGTTGAAAGTAACTGAGCAAACCATATTATATGTTTGAAATATTGTCTAAGGATTCCCATTGAATTTCTTGGAATTCAATTCGGACACAGCAGATTAAATATTTCTGAAGTATTCTTTAACAGATTCTCCCTTATTACTGAGCTGAAGAGCGATTGGAAAATAGCTCATGATAATCATACATAATTTGGCATTCAACAACGAGAGCTTTCTTCTTCTTCAATTCATACAAGTGGATGAAACAGAAAAACAATATCTGTACAATATTATATTTCCAATAATGAACTTTTTTACCTAAAAGCTAATGTGAAACTCAAGTGCTTGATTGAAACATTTAGCTGGTGAGAATGTATCAAACAGTTAGGTTTCTGTTCAAATAGTACTTCATTATGAGATTTCAACCTTTTGCTCCAACGCGGAGCAAAATATCAAGTATTACCCTTTTTTGCGGGATGATATTTATATATGTATTAAATATATACATAGATATAGGTATACATAGATATAATCATAATTTCAACATAACTTCAGTTTAAAATTTTTGTTTATTTTTAATATAGTTCAAAGTGTAATATGGACAGTTTATCTTAAAATAATTCACCTCAGGATTTCAATCTAGATTCTTGGTCCAATAACCAATACTCGTACAGCAAACAATTTATCCTCAAATAGAAAATTTGATGATAATATGGAAGTATCGATTTTTTGTCACATGGCAAGAAACAAAATTCACTCATTGTATATAAGAATTGTCATTCAATAGACGAACATTATGATAGAATTGAATTCTCATTTATATAATCTATGTTATGACCACTAATTGTACCAGTTTTGAAATGAGAGCATCAAGAAATGAACCGTGTTGAAATTATCGCTTGCATGATAATGTGAATGATAGGAACATCGGCGTTTTATTATGAAGTTCCAATCTATGATTTGCATAACATGCATGCATGCCCCATGCTTTAAATTTATGTAGATGAGAAGTAATTTTTGTGCACATGAGAATTTCAATGAAAAACCATGTTTGAATGATTGATAATTGAATGAAACTCAGTTTTCTTTTCGTAACTGTATTCTTAAGAAGATTTGCATTGAAGTAATAATATTTTCATCAGAATCAGGAATTATTGTTTGTGTTGACAGGCCAAGGCCCCCTGTCTTTGGTATACTGAACCAAATATGAAGTTGAACGAAGTAGCATTATTCGAAAAGACCTCGTTTGAACAGAATGGGAAAACTCCACATTTACCACATAATTGAGGAAAAAGTATGGAAACTCCGGAAAATTTCTCGAATTTGCTAATATCATAAAAAACAAAAGATTACATCCTAGGTCAATTTCAACGAGGAATCTAAGAGTTCAATTGGATTTGACCGTAAACCTCAAGGTCAACTTTTTATTTAAAAATGAAAACAATTTTTTCATTACTTAGAACTGAAGGTCCAAGATTAAAGGAGTCCAAAACCAAAATTACGTTGTTGTGAATGATCCATAAAGTGTTTTTCAAGTTATTACTATACTCGCGAAATTTTTAGGTATTTCCCAATTGATCTCAAATGGAAAAGTGGCATTTTCAAGGTCTCCCAATTTTTTTCCGATGATATCTCCATTTATTATTCTTCGATAAGAAGATTCTCGAAGTAGCTGCTTTTCAGAAGCAAAAAATTGTTTGTCAAATTATTGATTCAATTTCAATTGTCGTTTACTTCTGCCTGTGAGAGAGGTAGTTAACTGCATATCTGAAATTTGAAGGAACTCGATTTTCAATTATCGGAAATCATCGACTTTAAGTTGATGATAGACACTACCTTGCACTGACGAGTGGCCTAACAGCTCGAAACCGGTCTGCAAGTGTGTTCCAATAATTGAAAATCTATTGCGGCAGTCCAGCATATGCAGGAATAACTTCAGTGAAAAATCCTGCACTGACACCTGGCGGATATAATCCAACGCCCTTCGTGGTGTTAGCCAGGGAAGTAGTTTCAGATAGGTGTCAGTCCATTACCTACAGTGTAGGGAGTTTCTTTCTATAACTTATATCCGGAATATTACGAAAAATAATATTCATTTCGGGGGAATATCTCAAGAGAGATGTCATTATGTATCAAAAAAGACACCCCAGTGGAATTTGAAACCAGACACTCCACTCCACGATTCCCGTGTTCTACCAACTGCGCCACAATTTTTAACACAAGTTAGTGCGACATAAAATTATTTGATGAACTTTCGAAATATATCATTTTCAACACATTACAAATTTCTGGTGGTGTCATTTCCATTTCTCAAGTTTATTTTTTATTCTTGTTTTCGGTTAGGAACTAGATATTTCAATACTTGTGTTTGATGTTCGAGAGCAAATTTTGAATTGGGGAATTTTTTTAAATGCGACTGAAATAAGACTGTCAAGTTATGAATTTGCTCATCTGTGATTAGCCTCGAAGGTAGTGAATTATGAATCTGGTCAGCTAGAATTGGTGAATATGAGTTATAAGATTATTGTCTACTCACCCTACAAAAAACGGTCATATAATTGATGTTTTTTTTTCAAAAGTCCTAGAAAAAGTAAGATATCAGAGTGACCAACAAGGAGAAAATAAAGAGACTTTCTTTCTATTATTACTACTGGAACAATCAACTCGAACCAAGGAAATTCTGAACAATAATTTGTAACAACCTGAATTAATTATGGAAATCCAAGTTATTTCTAATCAGGTACCACTTCTTATCCAAGATTCTGGAGTTGACACTAACCCTTTGTGGGATACACAAATAAAGTTCTAGAAATGAAGAATATAGCAGGCAAAATTGATTCTGTATAAACTCAAGTTCCGAAGGCTTCATTACGTTGCAGTTCAATTATTATTATACTTATTTTCCACAAACTATGATGAAAAACGAGGATCATGAGCAGAAGAATTTTATCATAATCCAACGACTCTCATGAAATTTTTCTCATTCCTTACTCTTGTCAATAGTGGTATTCAACTTCCAGTTATCACATATTTGAAATGATGAAAATAGACATAGTGTTCTCATATTCTCATGAATGTTAACTCTGAAGTTCGGCACTGCTGAGTAACATAACATTTACTTCTATGGAAAAATTAACCATTTTGTTGATATTGGAGTATCAAAAGTGTTATTAATGAATAGTATTTCTTTCCACCAAGGACACCAATGAATAATGCAAAGCTGAATCTAAAAATGGACACCGTGAATGAAATGACCTGGAATGTATCACTTCTTCTATCAGTTTCAGTCGTAGATAAAATTATCAATGGCAGACGGTTTTATTTCATCCAGTTAAAAAATTGTTCAATCGTCTAAATTTTTCCTTTGTTATTCTCCAAATACTTTTTTCAACCGACTTCACCATTTTTACCTGAAAGAAGAAGTTTTCGAGACATTAATGAATGTGATGAACAATGCTGAAATAAAAATCTATGGCTATTCAATGAGTTTCTCAAAAATTACATGATTATTGCTGTGAAGTTGAGCAGGAACCATCATATGAAATTGTATTTTCAAACTCAATAATGATTTTGAAATAGTTTCACCTTGAAGAAATATAAAATTTCTTGTAAATGACTATAGAAAATGATTATTATTGATTCGGTTGTGGTTTGCTATTTTCTCAAAAAAACATCTCATTATTCAGTGAGTTACACAATATAATAATGTACATCAGAAGTTACCCAACTCTCATTTCCTCTCATTTCATGTCATAATGGGATATTTCACTTATGAATACCTCATAATGAATTGATCTGTTTCAAACAAATCAAAATATCTTTCTTAGTTAAAAATATCCCAACATTTGAGTGTCACAGGCAAAAAAAGTAGAAATAAATGTAAGAGAGATGATGAATATATTTTTTTTCGATTTTGGTTCCTGCAATGCAGAATGTGTGAAAATCGAGTGATTTTTTAGGATGTCGAAATCAAACCCTACATATCAATTCATGATGAACATGAAACAACATGTGGCTATTATGTTTATCGTTTCTTTTATCAGCTAAAAAACAAACAAAAACCAATCTTTCGCACTCGATACAATGCACATTTTCTGTGTATATTATTTGGTTTAAAAGGAGAATTCACCTCAGGCGTAAATCATATTACATAATACCAAGTACGAGGTATTATGATTTACGCCTGATGTTATCTATATATCTATCAAAATTCTTAAAAAATTCACAATATTCTTCGAACACTCAAAGGTATCAAGAAATTATTTGAAAGATGTGTTGATGACTGAAAACTATCTTTCATATTGCTATATTTAAATTGACCCATTTCAAACTAATCGTTCATTTCCAGATGACTATCAGATTGTTTTAATCCTTCATGAGTAGTTTATCAGTCCCAAAACTTTGGATCGGTAACATTTCTGAGAATCAATTTGGTTTTAAAACACTAAAAAATCATTATGACCAGGATGAGCAATTCAGTAGTAGCTACAGTTTTTTGACATATGTTCTGAGCGGTGTATGATTTCTGTTTCTTGAAAATGACAAGTGATGATATTTTTATTGATTTGCGATAGCAGAAATTTTGAAGATCAAGTAAATCACGGGTTTCGTTCAGAAAATCTTCTCCAACTGAATTATGCTCCACCCCATTATGACCTACAAACTAGATGGTATTTAGGTCGATACATCAATAAAAATGGAAGCAGTTGAATTGCCACCGCGAATACCGAATTTGATACCACTGGATCTCACCATATTGGACCATATCAAGGCAGTCGTTTGTGAAAAGAAACAGATGAATGTACAAGAATAATAGTAACAAATGACCAATCAAAGTGAGACTATAACTTCAATTCATCAAATGAAAATATTTCACCACATTTTATTTTTTAAGTTGAACTGAATGGAAGTATAAATCATATAAGTTGTGTTTTCAGATTCTGAGGTTGAAATAGTGAACACACTGAACTGTTTTTTTCCTTGATTTTACGGAAATGATTGTTATTTTTTTTCTACAAAACAAATTTCAATCCTCAGAGCTATAACCACTACCAACAGTTATGAAAATTGACACACTCTTCATATAAAATTTAGTATGTGAGCCGAAAACATCATTATTACATATCAAAAACTGAACCTGCATTAGATTTCATTCATGGTTGTTGTCATCGTTATTCTAAAAGCTTAATGACAAGCTAAAAACCAGTCTATACATATTATTTCCAATACATGATCATCTAAAGCGATATTTATGTATATGCCCAACTACAATCATTATAAAATAATGCCACCCAAGCAAATGATGAAAAAGTAAAAATGGGTTATAAACAAATAAACAAAATCATTGTACCTACGAGTGACTGGCAAGTATAAATTTTGACCAGAAAAAAATATTCTGAGGCTTCTTACGACTCAGTTATCAAAGAGGCCTAGCGATATTTCTGAGTACAACTTCAGCAATTTCCGCCCCTGTCTCTACAACCCTATCTCCCAAAGCTCCAATACCCCTAACCAGATTTCCAACAATATTAGTACCTAAACTTACCGTAGCTTCTATACCAGCTCCGATGTTAGCCAGAGGCCTGAAACGATTTGGAGAGCTATGAAAATTAGTGAATGTATTGCTTGCTATGGGAGCGTTAGTAGTGACTTTATTGATCAAGGTGACTGATTTTGTGGAAGTGATGATCTTTTTGGTAGATGAAGTGGGTTTTGCACTTTTATTATTGATTTTTTTTTGGGACACAATAGTTTTTCCAGTGGTAACAGAAGCGAATGTACTTGTGCCACTTGTACTAGTACCAGTACTTGTTTTTTTCATCGAAAGTGTGTTATTGTCTATTGTTTCTTCAATAATGCCACCAAGTTTGTTCAACATTTCCAGGGAAACCACTGGTGCTGGTATCGATTCTCGGCTACCATAAGTCGCAATAAATTTTGCTGTTAGACTGCCATCTGGATCCCATTCTTTCTGTAGTTGTGCCCATATCTTGGGGTACTCTTTCATAAGGCGCTTTATACTTCTCAGTGTGACTGTCTTTTGTTTTTCCGTGCACTTCTTACAGTTAGTTCTAATGGCCTCGGGTAGGATCCCTGCAAAAAATTATGAAATGATTAACTGCTAATTGAAGAACTCGGTACAATTATTATGGTTATAATTCATGAATATTCAAATTGTTCAATTTCATTTTATCGCATAATCGATAACTAGGTCTGAATCATTCTCTGTGTGGATTTTAAACAGAGAATGGAATGTTAATAACTATGTAGGTTGTTTACTATTTGCCAATATGGCCTTCATTCAATCAATGTCCCACTATTAGTTTTGTAATATTCTTTCAAAAAAATACGTGTATTTGTTCACAATGATTACTCTCATAAAGTATGTTGAATTAATTACATTGAAAGTTTCACCGGTTGAACGTGAGGGATTTTTTGAAATATGCAACCGGCTTGTGTTTGATTCGAAGATATTTTACAATTTCTGTGAATGGTCAACAATGTGTCACAAAAAAATATTCTGCTATTCTGCTATTCGACTGGATAATAGTTGAAATTTGAACCCAGATATATCTAGTTTATTCATATCAATGAAACATGTTGTGATATATTTTTCAAAATAATGTTTGTGAAGAACAAATCGTGATGTGTAGTTTTTGAAATTTCTATGGATCTTCATCATGTAACGGCCGAATCAATCAGAAAATTCGATTTTTTGTTCGCAAAAAACATCAACCACATAAATCAGCCATATCTTAGAAAAATACTTTGACTTTTCTTTGGTTTCCATTTCGAATTTGCTCATGAATAGGTTTGTTAGGTAGGAGGATAAGTCGTTACCCATAGCCGTTCCCTCCTGTTGTTCATAAAAGCAATCTACTACCTGGAAACGGTTTTGTTTCATACAAAAATTAGTGAGAGAAACGAATTTATCAATCAAAGGAAACCAAAAGCTCACCTTCTTGTTTTTTGTATGTTATATGAACCCTAAGGAGTTTTTGATACAGAAACCTGGTTCCGGTATAGGCAAGATTTCAAACTTCCCAGTGATCCATTTTTCTCAGTAGGGTGTTTGTAGGTAGGTGATTCAATAGCTGACACGATGGGGCGCGTTTATTTTTCCGGTTTGTGAATTTTTGGGAGGCAATATAGTTTTGACACCTTTGGGTTAGAAACCTCAAGTTCCGTTTTAGTTGAGGGGTAAGTATGTTGTCGCATTTCTTGAGGACGTCTTCTACTTTGCCAATCATCTTTGGTAACGGGTTCCTGGACAATTTCGCATACGGCCCGTTAGTGATGAGAGTATTGACAATCTCGTAGTAGTCCAATTTATTTAGAATTACTATTTTGTTACTTTTGTCTTTGTCTTTTAATCGCTTGATAAGTTTTTTCGGATTTTATCGTCGTTTATCAAATGTTCCGGTTTATTTGTTATCATGTTCCTGGAAACTAGATTCCTGACTTTTTCTCGAACTAGTCCCTTCGATGAATCAGGCATATATTGAATCAAACTTTCAACACTAGCAACCATTCCATAGACTTTAGTTCATTAAGATTAGTTAGACAAGCTGACAACAACAAGCATCTAGATACCAAAGAGGGTGTAGAAATAAGAAAACATAATAATATTTTGAATAACAATGATCAACCAATGCCTATTAGTATACTATATAGCTTGTTGATATAATATTTTGATTATGAGATTTACCTGACCCTTACGTAAGGCCACATTGTAAAGTTAATTTAAGACTACTAGATAAGGCAATATTGTACAAATAATTCAAGACAATTGAGATAGCAGAGGTATCTATGGCATATATCAGGTTTACTGTATGTATATTTAGTTACAATTTTCTCTTGAAGATGATCACTTGGTGATCGAGACACGTGTCGAGGTGTTGAAATAACGGTTTGGTTTTGTGATGAAACTCCATATCATCATATCAAGTTGAATTTAGTTGGTAACTATTATGAAATGAATTCACAAAAATTCAGCATCCTCTCCGTTTATATGAGTGAGTAAGGTCGATGACATCCCGCCTTACGAAGACGCCATCTATGGGATCGACAGAGAACTCAATCTTCGAATAACAAAGTTGAACGAGGCTCCCCAAGGCGATCAGTTGCAAAGCCAAGTTTCGACATCGACAAGCCTGAGTAAGTCCTCGTTTAGCTTTCATATTCGAAGATTCAGTTGTCTGTCGATCCCATGGAAGAGATGTCATTGACTTCACATAATCAGGTTTGTTCTTTGAGGGCAGTTGAGTTGAGCATCGCAATTGTGGTTCAGCCTCGCTTGACTTTGCAAGCTATCGCCTTGGGGAGCCTCATCGGTATTTAATATTCGAGGATTGAGTTCATCAAATAGCCTTCAAATAGATGGCATCTTCGAAAGATGAGATGTCATTGATTTTACTTACTCAGGCTTGTCTTTGAAGAACAGTTGAGTCCAGCAGCACATTCGTGGGAAGTCAGCTTGCCACCACTAATGAGAACTATGGCGGGTCGATAAAGCGCTGTCTGATTTTTAGTTCTGTTAGGGCTCTGGTTTCTCACGTTATATGTTCGTTTGAATTTTTTGAAGAATTGTGTGAAATATGACGTTGTTATCTTGGAGAGATCGTGGCATTGGTGCTACTCTGCGAGCTGAACCACTGCCTAATATCTTAAAAAAATAACAAAACAATTCACTATATATTGTTTTCCTTTCGAATGTCTACAAAAAAGTTCACGATACCATGAGTATATTTTTTGAAAATTATTTGCTATGCTAATTTCAATGTTCGAAATGATGGTCACATAATAATTTGAAAAATATTTAGATAAATGCGAGATCGATATCAATTTAAAAAAAATCGTTTTGCTTATGGTAGCTTCATCAGTACTTGGTACATCAAACTACATGGTCAGAAGACATTGCAGAATAGTTTATTATGGATAATGTTATTGTGTTTTATCAAGTTACTGACCAGGGTATTAATAATCCGAATAGATACTTACTCATTTCAAAATTATAACTGATAGTTATGAACGTACTTTTGTTTGGGTGAATTGTATCTGAGGTCATTACTATTATTTACCAGAATATTGTTATACAATACAATACAATTTATTCACCAAATATACAAGTAGAGTTTGAATACAACTATTGCTAACAGTAAATGGTGGTAAATAAATATGAAGCGCCCAAAAGAAGGTTTCCCTTGTGCATGGGCGAAAGTATTTTACGTTCTTAGCAGTTTATAGAACTATAGTTTCTAAATTATACAATATATACATAGATATTACAAGAAGATAGATAACAAAAAAAACATAACATAGATATTACAAACAAGAAAGCATATAAATATAGTTATGTTCGTGTACAGTATAGATACAAGTTTGCATATGAACAAATAGGCAAGACATAGTGTATCTCACTTCAAGTTTTTCCTATCCAATTCTTTAGTTTTTTTTTCAAGCCGAATGAACGTATTCTGCGGAGATCATCTGGTATATCAGCATATAAGACTGGACAGAGGTCAGTAAACGAACTTTGACATTTTCGTGTATTAACTCTTGGAATTGTTGTTGTTTTGGCTTTGAAGCGTGTTTCATGTTTGTGCTGCATAGGCTCGTATTTGTGCTTGTTTCTATGGTGGTGGAGAACTAGTGATTGAAAGTAAAGTTGACGGGCATCCAGAGCTTTTGCTTCTGTGAATAATTTTTTCGTTGGGTATCTATAGCTTTTACGGAGTATGATCTTTAAAATCCTTTTTTCTGATGTCTCTAGTGGTTTCAAGTAGGTGTCTGCGATACCACCCCAAACTTATACCGTATGTTATATGTGTCTGAATCAGTGTGTCATATAGAATTGACATATATTTCAAGTCAAATATTTCTCTGTAGACTTTAAACCTGTTGGCCATGCTCTTTGATTTTTTTGAAACATAGTCTGCGTGGTAGTTTCATCTGAGGTGACAGTCTATCATAATTCCCAAATATTTAATGTGGGAAGCTGAAGGGATTTTTGTGAGGTCGCTGTTGAATTAAAGTTTCCTATATATTGGGAGATCGCTGTAGCATGTAGAAGGTTTTTTGAAAATTGATGGTGAGTAGTCGAGTTTGAAAGAAATTTATCACATTTGTGAAGTCTTTTTCAGCTTTGTCTTCCAGAGATTGCCAGGATGAGTCTTCATAGAAGATCGCAGTATCATCGGCAAATCTAATAATGGAGCCTTGTTATAGATTGAATAGAATAGGGCCTAGTACCTTGTGGTACGCCGTATTTTAAAGTTTTTTCTGAGCTTATCGTGCCATCTATATTAACCACCTGCTTTCTTTCACTAAGGTAGCTCTCCATCATGGATTTCTGGTGTTACCCAGAAATCCATGGCTTCAAGTGTTTGAGGGAGTTACTGATGGCTGACCATGTCGAAGGCTTTGGCCAGATCGATGAAGATGCATAGACATGGATTACTTTTGTCCATGGAATTATAGATTTTTCCAATTAGGTCTGTCATTGCATCTTCAGTTGATTTGGACTCTTTGAAGCCATATTGTTTGTTGGATGTGATGTTATATTCACTGAAGAAAAAGTTGGGATGGAGGAATGAATCAAGTGGACGATAGACCTTGCTTCATGTACTTATGTCAATGAGTAGCCGCCTCCACACGAAACTGAAACACACACATAATATGAAATTGTTCCGAAATGTTTCCCAATGATCTGGGATGTTCCAGGATATCTCCGAATATTCTAGACTAGATCATGCTCGAACATGCCGCAATGTTCCAGAATGTTTTGGTATGTTGTGTGATTCTCTTCAATACTCCTGAAGCACAAACTAACTGTGAAGTCAAATTTTCCTTATATCTATTAATAAAAACATCTTCCATATGCCGCGAACTTTATGTGTGACATTGTATGTAACTTTTGCTGTACCGTATACTTTCACTTCGAAATATTGATGAAATAATTATTTATAATGAAAGTTAATTCAATTGTTAAATTTGTCAAAAACTTGTTTTCGGATGTTGTTTTTCAGAGCGGTGGTTATTTGAAGAATTATACTTTGAGATAAAAAAGTAATTTTGTCAATTTGTGTAATTGATGACTTGTATACTTTGTGGAAATTCATGAGCACTTCAATGAAACGAATGAAACACTTTTGCCTAATTTTCACTAGTTATTTTATTTTTACGATCTCGGGTTAAGTAATAAAGCAAATTGCCTTAAATAATCAGGTATCAGTTTTTTTGATAGAGAAGAATATCAGGTGAAACTCATAAAACGATTATAAGTGAATTATACCCAAATATCAGATGACACAATACAGAATAGAATCGAATAGAATATCCTTTATTCGCCATAAAAAATACAATAGTATTATAAGGTTTTGTCAAATATCATATACCATAAAAATACCATAAAAACACTAAATGAATAAATAAAAAATAAACAAATAAGGAAATGAGATGTGAACAATTTCAATATAAATATCACTGTCTACGTAGATTGTAAATTCAAAATATTAGTTGGTGAAGTCAAATGATAAGAATTCGTCGAAACTATAAAAAGAGTTTTCCAGGCAGATATTCTCCATATAATTTGTAAAGGAGGCTGTATTTAAGTTTTTATATTTTCTGGTTGTTTATTGAATAAAATAGGACCATAATAATTTTTCGAAAAACGGCAGTGATTTAGTCTTGTGAATTCAATTTTAATCTGTTGTGATTGTCTGGTGTTATGTGAATGAAAATCGTTTTGATTTAGATATAAGTGAGGATTTTTTTACATAATTTATACAAGAATAAACGTAAAGAGGAGGTAATGTAAACATTTTATTATTAATAAATGAGCTTTTGACGTCTTCTTGATAACCCAGTTTGGAGATAACTCGCAAAACTTTTCTTTGTAGTCCAAACACTCTTTTTGCATGATGCGAGTACCCCCACAGTACTAGACCATAAGACATATGGGACATAAAAAGTGAATGATAAGCAGTGATAATGGTTTCAATAGATGAGATGCCCATTAAACTTTTTATAATATAAATGTTCGTTGCCAATTTTTTGCAAATAAAAACTACATGTTTTTCCCAAGAGAGCTTTGGATCCATTTGGACTCCAAGAAATTTAATCGATTCATTTTGGTCTATAGACAGTTGTTTGTATGTAAAAAAGTAATGTTGCGTTTAATTAGTATTCAATTTCAATTTAATATTTGTCAGCCATCTATTAGCATTCGACTCTGCTACTTTCATTTCTTTAACTATAGCCTCGTAGTTTGTATTTTGGATCGTTAATGATATGTCGTCAGCAAATTGCGTAATCTCAGAGTCATCTTCAGTTTTGGAATCAATGACATAAATCAAGTATAGAATTGGCCCCAAAACCGAACCTTGGTGGACTCCGTTTTTTATTTCTTTGGTATATTAGATGCCTTATTATTCAAAAAACGTATTGTTTATGTTCTGATAGATATGATCTAACAAGGTTAATTGAGTTTTCCTCAAATTTGAACTACTTCAATTTTTTAAGCAGGATTTCATGTGACACACAATCGAATGCTGCCTGAAGATTGCAGAATACTGTTCCTGTGTGGACACATTTCTGAAATCCTACGACGATTTTATCTACTAGCTGCATTACAACGTCGGTGGTTGATTTTCCGTTCCGGAAACCATATTGGTAATCTGGAATTATATTATGTATCTCAAGGTGTTCTACTAATCTACGATTTCAGAGCAACTTCAAATGTTTTGCCGATTACGGGAAGTATTGAGATGGACCTCAGTTTACACAATTCTTCGGCTTTTTTTCTTTTGGTATTGGATCACTTTAGTAATTTTAAGGCAATCAGGAAGAGTTCCGGATTTTATTGTTTCGTTTATCAACTTTGTTAAGGGTGTGATTATGATATTTTTCATTATTTTTATTAAAAAAATATTTAGCCCATACTAGTCATCACTGGTTTTATTTTTCATTTTATTTATTATATTTCTAGTTTCGTTAAAGGTTACTTCCCTAAATTTGAAGTTTGGGAAACAGTTAAAATTTCCTGGCAATGGAGAAGTTACATGTGATTAGGTTTGTACTATACTGTGATATATATCGTCTGCTTTGTTGATAAAGAAGTCGTTTATGTCATTTTCGTTTAGTTTGATTTCTGGGTGTTCTTTTGTTTTGCCCCTCTCTTCATTTATTATATCCCAACACATTTTGTTAATATTATTCGTATCCTTTATTTTCCTGTTATTGAACTCTCTTTTTGTAATTTTCACTTTTGGTTTGTATAGATGTTGATATTCTTTTTTTACATTTTTTATATGCATATCATTAGAAATTTGGCATAGTTCTGATACTGTAATCGATTTTTCATGGTTTGGAGCTCATTTGTATACCAGGATTTTTTACTGCTTTGTTTGTTGTTATCATTATTTTTTGTTTGAGAAGAAAACAATTTTCCATACATGACTTGTGTATGTGAATAAATTTCAAAATTTTTTTGTTTATACTCAATTCATTACAATCAACGAAATCCCAATTTTGCATATCTGATTTCTGGAAGAAATTAAATTAATTTTTTTCCTTTTTGTAGGATCTGAAATATACATTGTTGCTATTATGTCCATTATCACTGCTTAGCATTAATTTCATATTTACAATGTTATGGTCGGATAAGCCCGGATCCCACACTCTCGTGAGTGCATCCGTCTCAAAGTTTAAAAGAAAATTATCAAGGGTATTTTCATTTCTCGTTTTATGTTGAATTTTTTTCGAAAGTTAAAAGAATTTACCAATTATGTGAATTTTTTAGTCTTAGTGTTTTTTTATCATTAAAATGTACATTGAAGTCTCCGTTTATGATTACTTTTTTGAAGTTAAATATTTTTTCCAATAATAAGTTGAAGTTTTTTAGAAAGAATTCAAAATCTCCGTTTGGGCTACGATATATTGTGATTATTAGGAGCTGAAAATCAACCAGCTGAATAGCCGTTATCTCACAATGTATCTCCACCAATAGATTTTGAAGATCAGTCCTGTTTTTGTACTTCATTCCTTCTTTACAGAGAATCATTACCCCACCCCTTTCGAAGTTACATCTAGCGTAAAACGAACAAACGTCATAATTTTTAATTGCAAAACTTTCGACCGCTTGTCTCATTCCACACAAACGCAGTTCTCCAAATGAAAGAGTTCTTAAACAGTGAAGTTTGGAGTGTACTGACTTGAACCTCAAAACGATGAGCAGTCACAGTCCGTCGGGGTTTTCTGATGTGTACCGCAGTTGGTAGAATCAAAAATGTGCCAAGTCACTTGAACACGTCCCGTGGAAATATCTATAGAAGAGACACAAATTTCCAACCTTTCTTCGATGTTGCAGACTATAATAAAGGTTGCAGACTATAAAGGGGGCAGAGATCCCAAAAATACCCTGGTTTTCTGGTTCGGAAAAGTGTTCCAAGCTTTTGAGAACTCCAGCGACATGATTATGCCAAGACATACTAGTGTTCATTTTAACCCCCAACAAATTTATCGAAGCAGAAAGCGGAATTGTCTGACCTGACATCATTATATCCGGTTCGGAGACATTTATCTTCTTGGAGAAAATCGATGTCTGGGTTTTGTGACATTGAATTGAACCTGGTTATTTTCACCCCAATTCGAAATCACTTCTAGAGATAGATTGAATAAATCAGTTAAAATAGAGTGTGGAGAATGCTCTGCAGTATATACAGGCCAAACCGGTATAAATTTTGAGGTAGGGCTGGCTCTATGCTGTGTATGGACAAAAAAATCTACAATGTATGAAGATCTGCAAGAATCAAAACACAAGATAAGTAAAGATAATTTCAAAATCCTTCACACATGTTATAAAAGAAAGAAAATGAATATGCTGGAAGCCATGGAAATTAACAAATAAATTAAAAACCCGAAATATATATTCCTAAACGAGCAACTCGATTTATGTAGGTCTCCACTTTGAATTTATGAGTTTGACAACCCCAGTAATTACTATAATCTTTTTTAAAGTTGGCATCACTGTTCATTTAATTACCTCCCCATCCAGCTTACCTACAAACTTCCTAAATGAACCAGTTAGTTTTTATATTCGGTGATGGGATAAAACCCGAAACCAGTCGTAAAAATAAAATAACTAATGGAAATTATACAAAAGTGTTTTCATTGAGTGAATAGTATTTTTCACTTTCTGATCGCATCTGGTTTCACCGAACATCGCTCTGGTTTTGAATTTCTAAATAAATTATGTCAATATTATCATTGACTTTTGGAACATTCTATGTAGCACAAGGTGTTCTCGTATATTAGTTGGTTGCAATCTTGCCACTTTCAATATCTTTCTTCAAAATGGATAACCAAGTATGATCCAATCCAAGGAGCTGTTTGAAATAGGATTTTCTTTATTTGTAACTCGAAGGCTGCGAAACTCGCGATGCCAACTTTGTAGGTCTTACCGTTTCCAAGATAGCAATAGTGGGATCAGCTGAACGAAACGTCCGGTGTGTAAAATAATATAAGAAATTGTAGTTAACTTACCGATTTTGTTTTTCTTTGTGGTCTAGGTTCCATGAAAATACTCTCGGCCCACAACACACCGGACGTAGGACAATCCTGTAATGCCTTTGCCATCATAGCATTTGCAATATCCTTCATTCCAGCTCTAATTTCAACCCTTATGGCTTCCAACCACAAATATTCATTTTTAGGATTCTTCAGCCTAGCCTTCTCAAGAACTGAACGCGCTTTGATAAGCAATCCACGTTTCTCTTCGAGCCTTGATAACAGAAGCCATAGTGGAATCGAATTGGGACATTTTTTTATCTGTAATATCAAAAGTCTCAATATTAAATAACAATGAAATACCTGGGAAGTTACCCCTGCATTATAGGCATCAAAAGCTTTTGACAAGTCATTTTTCTGTTCTTGGATCTGGCCGAACATCATCCACAGTTTCGGATAATCAGGGAAAACTTTCAAAGCTTCATCTAGTAACTTCAGGGCTCCATTAAGATCATTGAGTGACCACTCAAGCTTTGCACTTTTCATCATAACTCGAGGAGTTGGAGCAGAACCTGGAATATTTCACTTGTCAGACCCTTCACGAGAAGTAACTTTTTCTAGTTCATACACACTTTTTAGAAGTTTATACAAATATTTTGAAATAAAATGAAAACACTATGAATGTAGACTGACGATATTTTGAGATATCTTAACTCACCTCTAGCTTTAGCCAAAAGTCTTCTAGCTCTTTCATATTCTTTGTTTTCTGATTCCAGTTTGACAGCAGCCAACCAAATTTCTTCGCTGTTAGGATTAGCCTGGAAAGCCAGTGATAAAATGCCTCTTGCAGCTGGTACATCGCCAGCTAACCATTTACTTTTTGCTCCCATTAACCAAAGTACCTGAAATTAGAGTTACACAGACATGTACCATGGCTTACTTGTTCTATCATCTCCATGGAGACATCTATGGCCATTTGCATAACACATTTAGAACATTATCCCTTTATAATTTGTTTGCAAATATTATTTTCAATGTTTTGTAAAACGTTATACACTAATGCTATTGATTGTCTATCTTATTTTACTGACAAAACATTTAGATTGGACTAAAAATAGGTATTTATCTGAATAACCTCACCTCACTTTTTGGACAATGAGCAACAGCTCTTTGAAGAAGATTTTCCAAACTGTCCCTCGATCCATGATTCTTCTCCAAATAGGCAGCTCGCAACCAGATTGATTTTTTGCCAGGGAAAGCAGCTAAAGCAATGTTGTACACTGTTCTGGCACATTCATAGGCTCCTTGATTAATGCACTGTGAAAAGTGGGTATTTTTACCATGTTAATAAATCTGTTGATACTAGTGATATAATTTTGCTGTATCTCCAAGAATTTCTGAAAGCGTAGGCCAGTGGCATATGAATATAATTTTGATTCACATATTCATGAAATGAAGTACAAGATTTTTACAATGCAATTCTTATTATCACATAATTTGGTTTGAAATTAAATAAATATTTATTCCATTTCATGGAATAATTATTCCGAATAGAAAGGAAATTTTGGCATCATCAATATTTTACACAATACTAACGGCCTCTTGCAGCTTATTTTTCATCCAAAAATTTCACGTGCTCAAAGGAATTTAGGAATTTGCACAATTTGGCAATTATTATTCCTCAAGAAAATAAAATACAAGTATCACCAAATTCTCACATTATAACAACAACTAAATATAGTTAATTTACCGCTGAAAAATTTCAATTTCCGAGGGAACTTGAGATGGTAATTTGCACCACTCATCATATCAAATTACTTCCTGAAATGATTTTTCTTGCATCAGTAAATTCTCACATGATATTCCAAAGTAGTTCTGGTACAATTTAAAATGAACAAAAATTATCATTCCCAACAATTGATGATAAAAGTTCACAATGAAATAATTTTCCTGAACTGAATTATCATAGGATAATTCATAGGATCATAGTAGTAGTTCTCGTATAATTCAAAATGAAAAGTAATGACTTCTTAGCGGGACTAGGGGGGTGTTAATTTCAACCCCTTTAATTGATAATTGTTATTCTTCTTGAAAAAAAACACAGAATACTAAGAAGGCAATCTTGTTAATTTACTGTTGAAAAATTTCGACTTTCCGAGGATCTTGAGCAGTAAAATCAAAAGTTCAAAGTTCTCTATTATTTTTTCTTTCCAGTGAAAACTTTGATTTCCAATTATGGGTGGGGGAGAATTACCACCACAAAATTGAAATTTTTCAATGGAAAATCAACAAATTTATTTGCTGGTATTCTGTGAAAATTTGATGATGTTTGTTTTATGAGTAATAATAGTTATCAATAAAGAGTAGATAATATTACTGGAGTTTTTTCCCAACACCAAATCGTTATTTTTAAATGACTATGAGAGTGTAGAAATAAGTAAACGTAATAATATTATGAATAACGATGATGGACCAATACCAAATAGCATATTGTATAGCTTGAATATTACTGGAGTTTCTTTCCCAACACCAAATCGTTATTTTTAACACCTCAACACGTGTTTCGATCACCAAGTGATCATCTTCAAGAGGAAGATTAAACTTCCTCAACACGTGTTTCGATCACCAAGTGATCATCTTCAAGAGGAAGATTAAACTTCCTCGACACGTGTTTCGATCACCAAGTGATCATCTTCAAGAGGAAGATTAAACTTCCTCTTTAGTTTAATCTTCCATTTTCTATTATGACGTATTTTAAATTTTCTAATTCAGTTTCTTTTGT